TTTTTTTTTTTTTGGTCTTTCCTGGGGATTCTCTCTGCTCTGCTTATATTCCCCTCCCCATGGCAATGGCTGCTTCACGGGGTTTAAGGACCCTGGGCTTCAGTAGCATCTGGATTGACCCCTTCGCTGTCCACAGAGATGCCATGGGCGTTTCCCTCCCTCATCCTGAGGACCAGGACTTTTGCTGCGACAGCAGCGTAGGCAGCAGCGGCAACAGAGGCATTCAGGGTCCTGCCGAGCCGTCTGCCCTTTGGAGTGCAGCCCTCAGCACTTCACCTACTGGCTTTGTGGGGGGGTTTTGGGTTTTTTTTTTTCTGTCTTTTTCTTTCTCCCTAATGACTGCATTTTCATGAGTGACCACCTGGTGGGCCTGTATATCGGACAAAGTAGTCTGTCCCCTGAGCCAAGCACAAGTCATATCTCCATTTTAAGGTGTACACGTAGGTCCAGGCTAAGGTACATGACCAAGGCCCCTCGAAAGGCCCCCCATCCCCATATTCCTGTTCCTAAAAACCAGTTGATTTTTTTTTTAATTGAAGTACAGTCAGTTACAATGTGTCAATTTCTGGTGTACAACACAGTGTCCCAGTCATACATATACATATGTATATTTGTTTTCATATCCTTTTTCATTAAAGGTTGTTACAAGATATTAGACATAGTTCCTTATGCTATGCAGAAGAAATTTGGTGTTTTAATCTGTTTTTATATATAGTGGCTAACATTTGCAAATCTTGAACTCCCAAATTTATCACTTTCCACCCCCTTCCCCCTGGTAACATAAGATTGTTTACTGTGTCTGTGAGTCTGTTTCTGTTTTATAGATGAAGTTCGTTAGTGTCTTCTCTTTTTATCTTTTTAAGATTCCACATAACAGTGATATCATATGGTACTTTTCTTTTTCTTTCTAGCTTACTTCATTTAGAATGACACTATTTAGATCCAACCATGTTGCAGCAAATGGCATTATTTTATACTTTTTTATGGCCGAGTAGTATTCCATTGTATATATATACTACAACTTCTTTATGTGTGTACATCTTTATTACATGTACATCTTAGAATGGAGATATGACTTGTGCTTGGCTCAAGGGACAGATTACTTTGTCATATGGTGATTCTACTTTCAGTTTTTTAAGGAATCTCCCTACTGTTTTCCATAGTGGTTGCACCAAATTACTACACCTTTCTTTATGACCATATAATGAGGCTAATTGTCAGGACTGGTCTTGTCTGCCTGCTGTCTCTCCTCCTCTTTGAATTCTCTGAGGCACCTGGCCTGCAGTGAGGGCCCTTTCTCATAAAGATGTATTTGTGAATGTGCTGAATTGGGCCCTGAAAGAGTAACTGTGGTCTGTTTATGATAGAGCTGGATTAGTATTCACCATCTGTGTATTCTCTATCTTGCTATCAACTGAGATTTTTTGTTTGTTTGTTTGGGTTCACTTTAGCAGACTTAAAGAAAGCTTCCAGTTCAAATGTCACAAAATCCAACCTACCAAAATCTGGACTTCGTCCTCCTGGTTACTCGCGTCTCCCTGCAGCCAAGCTGGCGGCCTTTGGCTTCGTCCGGAGCTCCAGCGTGTCCTCCGTGTCCAGCACACAGTCTGTGGACAGCGCCCAGCCTGAGCCCAGCCGGTTGGCCAACCGTAAGTGGGGCAAGTGGGGCAAGTGGGGCAGAGGGGCTGGTGACACTGCTGTTCCCTGGAGGGTGCCCCTGGCCAGATAGGCCAGACCAGCAGATGGCGAATCAGCATGCGGGTGCAACAGGATTGCATTTTCTTTGTGTGTAAACTAGTATTTTGGGTTGATTACTTTAATCTACCATTGTTGGGACTTTAAAAACAATCTACTGAAGAAAAAAAGCCTACTTGGCCTTACCATTTTCTCGTTTATGGGGAGTTAATGTGCCAGAAAAAGACTTTTAAATTCTAGAAAAAGACTTAACTCTAGAAAATGACTTATCCAGGGACTGAGTCCAGGAGCCTGTTGCTTCATGCATTCTGGGTAAGAAGCCAAAGAAAGGTCCAAAAAAGTGTGACTATGATACGCTGTCATTAGACATATTAGGCATTAAGTATTAGTGGAAAAATCATTTTAATCACTGGTGATTACTCGTAATGCCTTCGTATTGGCAGAGCACTTGACTGCATTTCTAAGAGTTAACTAAGCGACGTTAAAACTAGGAAAGCACAGCTGAGCTGCTTCAAGTCTGTGCCCAGGAAGGTCCCCAGGAGCTGAGATGATGGCACCCCGGGCCTGGTTCCTGAGACAGATGTTGTGGGCTTATCTTAAAGTGTGAATTAATCACCTCAGAGCAAGTCACAGCAGCCACTGAAGACCCCAGGGCGGCCCCATTCTCCTGAGCCTCTGCAGCCCAAACCCCATCTCAGCCTCATCAACTTCAAAGTCATGGTCATTGGTTCTGAAGCCTTGACACCTCAGATGCTGGGATGGTAAGAATTTGCCAGAGGGCCAGGAAAATCTTAGAGGTTTTCGTGTGAAGAGCTGTTTTGAAGGGATTATAGTTGAATCAAGTTAGAACAAGAGATGGAGACGGTGAGAGAAGGGGAGAGGGAAGGGAAGAAGGAAGAGAGTTTGAGGATGGGATTGATTTCGTATTATGTTTTGCATTTCCTTTCTCCAGGCTGTGTTTTCTCTGTCCTCCATTGGGTTTTACAGAGCTGGTGGGTGGAACATTTGTACCTCAACAGTTCTAAATTTTGGTCTACCTGGTTGTTCCTAAAAGTAATGCATGACATTTTCCTTTGTCTTGATGTGTTTGTAAGCATTTCTGAGAGGTTCTTTGATCGCTTGTTTTCCCAGAGGTGCTGTGTCTCAAGCCTACTTTCACATGGGAATCATTTTAGGAAAACCACTATAATTAGCGATTACATCATGGCACAGTACATGTCTCAGAATCTTCTCGTGACTATAATACAGAACTATTTGCAAATGTGTTACCCTTATTTTTAGACATGTGTGTGCATATTAACAGTCTGAAGATTTTTAAGTGATCATTTTTAGTAGTGAAATTCCCAGGGGCATGGTTCTGTTTTAGAGGGAGCATGAATGATGAAAATTCTCATATGGTATGTATCTTTCCAAAGAAGGAGTTAAGATACCGATTTCTTAAAAAGAGAATTAACCTCAAGGTGAACTGAGCCGTGTCCCTATGGCAGCAGCTTTTGACAGAGGAGAGCTGACAGATCTGGACGGAATAATTCCAGGTGTGCTTGGGGCATTTCTTCTCACATGTGCTTCAGAGGGTTCTCCACAGGGACCCCCGAGCACCCACGGAGTCAAGAGCTCTTACGTGCCAGAGAAAATAACTCCTAGTTTAAAGACTTCGTATGAAAAACAATGTTTACTCTATTCAGAACTGTTTCCTGTTTCTGAAAACCAGCATGTCAGAGTCGATTTTTAATTATTTGCCACCTCACTATATATAAAATCTGTACTTACTGGTAAATCACAGAAGAACTTCGCACATCCATGTCTCAATACCATTAACCATCTTGCTTACGCTTGTTATTGCATTTAATGTTGAGAAAACCTTTGTTCCTGTTCTTTAGTGGAGACATGATGCTTTGATGATAAGGATTAAGTAAAATATGAAGTTTAGAAGGGCTGAAGGGCCTTAGAGCAGATCCTGGGAGCAAACTTTGCTGGTTTAGCTCATGGAAACAGCCAACATGGTACCAGAATCGGTTCCTTTTTTGTTTCTTGTCTTGTCTCTCTTTAGAGACAACTTCAAGCCTAGTGTCACTCAGGACTCCTTTCAGGAATACCGCTGTGATAAGGGGTCGCACCGTGGTAAGTGGGCGCCTCCAAGTCTGAAACATGGTTATAATAAGGAACTGTTTGCAAATGTGCAACTCATGGTTTTAGTTCCTCACATGCCTATAAACAGTCTGACCGTGTCCATGTGGCTGTGAATGCTGTATCGGGCACACTTTTAAGTGACTTGTCACACACACCTGCTAGTGTTTCCTGGGCTACCCTGGCTTGGCTGTGACTCTTCCTGGGCTGTTCTCCTGGGACCTGAGGGGCCAGCAATGATGACTGTGGAGAAGGGAGGCCTGGGAGCCCCCTGAGTGTGGGTCTCAGCTGTTCCTTGTGGAATCTGCCCTCCACCCTGGGCTCAGGCTCATGCAACCCCGTGGGCAGGGGCTTCCCCAGGCAAGTGCCCTGGTGTGTCTTTTGACTTTTTCTACGAGGTTTTGGCCAATGGAACTGACACAGGGAAATGAATTGTCATTTTAGCATCGAGTCCACTTCTTCATTTCACTGCTGAGCAAAACTGAGATCAGATCGACTTGTTCTCCGTCCTGGGATGGTCTTCTTCCTTTGTTTAGTTCTTAAAGCTGTCGTATGGGGTAAAGACTCACCCGTGACTGACTGACTGACTGACTGACTGACTGATTTATTTATTTATTTATTCACTTACTTACTTACTTACTTATTATTTTACACTTTGATTTTATTTTCTTTCATTTGGAGTGCATAGTATAAGTGATCTTTATTTTTTTTTATAACCAGTATACTGAAAATTAGATTTCCATCTCCACTGTTTGAGGAATTAAGTGAAGCTCTCATTTTATTTATACATTTCCCAGGATGGAAAGTGGGTTAGTATGGCCAGGTGTGCACAATGATCGGCTAGACCAAAACTACAGGCTAAAAAACTGTTTTCTGCAGTGGGCTCTGTGCAGCCCCACACGTGTGTATGCCCTTCAGTATAAATCCTTGTATGTTCTTGTCCTTTTAGGCACAAGATACGTCTGGTTTTCTTTATAGGCTGTTTCACCCATGACTTAAAGTCTTACTTTTCTACTAGTGAAGCAAATCTAAAAGCCGAGTTGCCTTGAGGGGCCCCTCAGGCCAAACCCCCCTCTCCCCACCACACCTCTTCCCAGGTGTGTGACAGTTCCAGGTGACAGGAGCTTCTTGTCCTGGGAAGAAGCCGGCTATTGGCCGGGCAGCTCTCACAGTGAGGCAGTGCTCTGCATGGGTCCAGGCTGCCTCCCTGTAATTTCCTGCTGATGGCCCAGTTCTTCCGGATTAACGCACAAACTTTGTCCTCGCTGTGCCTCTGGAGACAGCCCTGGGCACCTCCCATCACTCCTGGACCAGTTCAGCACATGCAGATGATGAGGCTGGCCCATTTAGAATCTCAAATAAAACTTCAAATTACAGTTCTCTCCAGGTATTGCAATAACCTATAATGAAAAAGAATATATATATGTATAACTGAATCACTTTTGGCTGTACACCAGAAACTAACACAACATTGTAAATCAACTATACTTCATTAAAAAAAAAACCAACTTCAAATTATACTAGGTAGCCACTTCCAGCTTTTTTAAGATAGAAAGTGAGCATGAGAAAAGTAATTCTTTAACTTAAAACTCAAATTTAAACTTAAAATCATAGTGTTTGAGCAGGTCTGACCCAGTGTATAGCTCATTTTTTAGTAGTTTTCAGAGAAGGATGAAAAAACCTCTAACATGCTTTAGGCAATAGAAACTTTGAGAAAAACAATTACTGTGGAATTTAGCGTTGGTCTCATACTATAGCCTGAAGTCTACCTGGTTGTCAGATTTCTCAGCAGTTAGGTTTGTGGACTTGATTTTCCCAGTGGGTGAGAAGGTGTAATTTAGAGTTAAAACCTTGGGCGAGTGGGGGTGCGGGGCCGGGGGAATAGGAAGACTTAAGGTTTCATGAATTAATCATTAATGAAAATAGATCATATCACCCAAGGATAGAATAATTTATGTGGAGGTTCATTTCTCACTGTGGATATGAACTCACTCATCGCTCCTGACCTCCTGGAGTGCAAGGAACTGAAAATATCTGTTAGGGAAGAGCATGAAGAAGGCGGCATTTGCAGCTGTCCTTTCTAATTTCTCCTCCCCGTCTTCTCAGATCCCCTCATGTTTTCTCTGCGGGATGAGCTGAGACCAGAAGGCATGGGACAGAAGATTTGAAAAGAGAAATAAAAAAGAAATCTGCAGGGTTTCCTTCTTGTTCCTTTTTCTGCTGCGGGGAAGTAGTCGAATGTTCTAGAAGGAGGAGCAGCGCTGGGGATGTGGACAGAGAAACTGACACTTGTGTGAATAATCACGGCGCGAGGCTAGCTGTGCCCGCAGCCTCAAAGACGACCCAGAGTGGGACGGAAGCACATGCGTGGAGGTGGAGGGTTCATTTCTGATGTGGGTGGTCGGGAGTTTCTCAGAAGGGTGGTGAGCTGGGCAGTATTTTGGGAGGCAGAGATGGGCTCTATCTGGGTGGTCTTTTGGGAGGCACGGTTGATACATCCAGAAGCCTTCCTGAACTCAGTGGTTGTCGTTTCCAGCAGCCTGCCAGGCCATCACGGCCGGGTCCGGTGTCTGAGCCGCCCAGGCTCAGTCCTCAGAGCGCTCTGTTCCAGTCCTTTGGTCTCCCCTTGGTCATCCTGTCCACAGGTTCAGCTCTTGGCGCTTTGGACATGATTCCATATCCACATCTCCAGCCCCCACGGCCCTCTGGAACCGCTCACCTATGTGTCTGGTGACCTGCCACGTATCTCCAGCTGCATGGCTCAGATCACCTCAAACGAAACATTTCCCCCAAAACGAATCTTTCATTGTCTTCCAAACGGATGCCT